TGGGGCACGCCTTACCCGCCGCCGGAGCGGGGGAAGGGGCGCCGAAGGAGGTGGGGGTCTTGGGGAGCCAGCGCAGTGGGGGACAGCCCCGACCCGGGCGCTCCGACTGCGGTGCGGGCTGGGGGCGGGGCCTGGGAGTGGGTGGGGCCTGCGGGTGAGAGTTGGGGCGGGGCCTGGAGGTGGGCGGGGCCCCGAGGGTAGGACTTCGAGATGGGCCCGAGGTGGGGGCCGCCCTGGCCTAGCCTTTCAGATTGTGGGTCATGTCTGGGGCGGCGCCCGAGTGGGGAAACGGTGGGCAGAGTGTGTTCTTTGGCTTGGGGTCGGACTCAGGGCCGGGGTTTAAAGGTGGGGGGTGGCCTAGGGTTAACCCTGGTGTAGGAGAGCGAGCCGCGGTGGGGCGGGGCTGAGGGCCCTCCCCGCGCGCAGCCCTGACACCCCGGCCCTCGCTCTCCCACTCACAGCTCGCGAGGCGGGCAGCGCAGTCGAGGCCGAGGACCTGGTCAGGAACAGCCTGGCGTGGGAGCCGCGTGCCAACGACACTCAGGAGGAGGCCGGCACGCCAGCGGCTGGGAAAGATGAGACTTTGTGGACGGCGCCCGGCGGCGAGCCGGCCGCTGTGGGCCCTGGGGTCGGGCCAGAGGAGGTAGTGGAGGCATCAGCTGCAGTGACCGGCACCGCCTGGTTGGAGGCTGACAGCCCAAGCACGGGCGGAGTGACCGCGGAGGCAGGCAGCGGGGATGCCCATGCCCTTCCAGCTACTCTCCAGGTTCCCAATGAGGCCCTGGGGCAGTCATCAGTGCCCCCCACTATCCCTGAAGCTACTGAGGCCGACCGACCACCCTCCCCCACTCCTAGAAACAAGCTTAGCCCAGGCCCTGAACTCCCCAAGGAGAGCCCCTTGGAGGTTTGGCTGAACATGGGAGGCAGCACACCTGACCCTCAAGGGCTAGAGCCCACCTACCCCTTTCAGGGCACATCAGAGCCCCAACCGGCATCAGATATAATTGACATCGACTACTTCGAAGGGTTGGATGGTGAAGGTCGTGGCGCAGACCTGGGGAGCTTCCCAGGGTCACCAGGAACCTCGGAGAACCACCCTGATACGGGGGGAGAGACCCCTTCCTGGAGCCTGCTTGACTTATACGATGACTTCACCCCCTTTGATGAATCTGATTTCTACCCCACCACATCCTTCTATGATGACTTGGAGGAAGAGGAGGAGGAGGAGGACGATGCACTGGGAGGTGGAGACCTGCAAGATGAAAATGACCTTCTAGTGCCCACCGAGAAGCCTGGTCTGAGGCCCGGGACAGGCCAGCCCACCAGTCGATGGCATGCGGTCCCTCCACAGCATACTCTGGAGATGGTCCCAGGCAGCAATATCGCCCTCAGGCCCCACCCAGGAGAGCCGGGCAGGGACCTGGCCTCAAACGAAAACGGCACTGAATGCCGCAGTGGCTTCGTGCGGCATAACGGCTCCTGCCGGTCAGTGTGCGACCTCTTCCCAAGTTACTGTCACAATGGCGGCCAGTGCTACTTGGTGGAGAACATAGGGGCCTTCTGCAGGTAAGGGTGTGGCAGGCAGGTACACAGGGGTTGCAGAAGAGCACCTGAGGAGTGATGTGAGGCAGACTCAGCACAGAGGGCAATGTGACAGGCACAGCTCCCAAGAGGATATACATTCATGGGATTCCCAAGTCAGGACACAGTCACTCAACTCTCCTCTACAGAGTTACTTCTTAAAATGTACTTCCTGAGAGCTCATCGCTAAGAGAGGTTCCTCAGAAATAAGATTTTGTATTTCCTCTAAGTGTTGTATCCTTAACCAGACCACCCAATTATAAAGGCAAAATGAAGGGACTTCTCCAAGGGTTTTGGAAAGGAGCCTTTGCTAGGTTGAGGGATTTTTGTTGGAGCATGCTGTCTGTACTTGTAAGAGAATGAGGTCCCTAAAGCTACCTTGTAGGAAAGATAGCTGCTGAACACTCCCTCCAAGCCACGTGTATGGCAGGAGGAGGGCCAAGTCTCTCTGTAGGGGGTGAGCATGTAAAGTTAGAGTGGGGACCTTCCTGGGAGCAGACCCAGAAGAGCAGCAATGCAAGTAGGTCAAATGAAACAGGGAGTCTTTCCTCGCATTGCAGATAGGGGGTGTTTCTTGACTTTGGGTGGTGGCTTTTTTCATCCTTGATGTTTGTCTTCCTTGGGATACAAAGTCCATAATGCTTTTAAAGATTCAGAGTGTTTAGTACCCCTAAGGACATTGTCTGCAACCACCATCCCCCACCTCATCAGTAACTACCCCATTCACCTCATTCTTAGGAACTGCCGTCACAGGGAGGTATTTCACCAGCTGGAGATCTCACCGCCTTGTTCTGGAAGAATCACAAGTCAGGGTGATCTGAGTGGTTTGGAACAACTCCATCCTTCACAGCCCTAGAAGTGGAGCACAGCCCTCAGACTCCTTTGAGGCTTGTTTCCACTGGTCCCAGGAAGAGAATTTCTGTTATCTGGGGGTCTCTCTTTTTTTTTTTTTTTTTTTTTTCTTTTTGTCTTTTTTCGTGACCGGCAACGGATCGCAACCCTCAGTGTCGCGCCCGTACCGGACCAGGACCGGCAACGGGATCGCAACCCTCAGTGTTGCCCCCACTCCTCGCTCAGCCAGTGAGCGGCCGGTCTGTATGTGGGATCCGAACCCTCGGCGGGAGTGCCGCCACACTTCCCAAGCGGTGCACTGTAGCAGTGCGCCACCGGGCCGGCCCTGGGTGTCTCTTTTTTAAGTGTCATTCTCAATGCTTCTTTTTCCTGTTCTTTTTGGAGGCATGTGAAGAATTCAAGTTGCTTAGATCTTGATCCTCTGATAGGAGAGTAACAGAGAATGCAGTGAAAGTTGTACCCTTGGCACTGAAGCTTGAGTTCTAGTTCTTTCTACATATGGTCAGAACATTAGGGTCACTCATATAGGATTTGACCACACAGTTCTGGTTGGAGTTGTCCAGCCATTGCCAAGAGGAGGTACTGTGATTAAGAAATTATAGCAATAAGGCCTTGACAGTTGGCTAAGGACTACCAGAAGTATGGGGAAACCCTGGGAAAACTTTAGTTTGGGGGACTATAGTGATGATTTCAGCCTGGGAGCTTTGGAATCTGTGCAAAATCATCTTTCATCCTTTTGGAAGCCTGGGATTGTTGCTTTCAAAGTGAGCTCCCCATCAGAGTATGAAATTTAGATCCCTTGCTGGCTCTGGAGAGCTAGAAAAGCTCCCAGAACCTCTTGGAGCTCTCAGGGAATTCCCCAGTAAGACTGAGTAAGGGTTAAGATTGTCCTCCTCACTAAGCTACATGGCTCTGCTGACTGTGGGTCCACCAATCTGTCACTGCCTCATAAGGGCTTCTCCACATGTCCACTCCAGTTCCCCTTGCCTGGGGAAGCTTCCATCCCAAGATCATACTTGGGCCTCCTTACTAGATTCCTTCTCTGGCTATGTACACCCAGGCCCGGCTGTGGCTTGAAAACTGTTTTTGCATTCCACTCACAGGAGACTGCTGAGCCTTTAGTTGCAGACTGCAGCGTGCCTTTGTCTCTGTCACCCTGACCCACTGCAGGGAAACAATCAGAGCTGTGGTGGGACTTCTGTAGAACACTGGGTTAGAGGGCCCCACTTAGAGGGGTCTGCATTCCCTGGCGGCCCCAAACAGAGAGCCTCCCAATGACGGCCCAGAAATTCAGTTGGAAAACAAAGAAGAATTGCTTGTTAGCCATATCTGCCCACCCTATTTTGGATGTGGAGTAGCCAGTTCTCTGATGTGTAATTTCCCCATTTCTGGACCCCTTTTTCTTGTCTGTTGCTCACCCTGAGGTTCATGTTCTCCCTCCTTTGCCTGCCTCCATATCCTTCCATATCTTTCCTCTTTGAAGCAGCCCGGTTCCCATGGAAACAGCAATGTCATTGGAAGAGTTGGAGCCTGAGAATGTCCCCAAGGGCAGGAGAAAGTCACTCAACAAAAGGACTAAAACCCACCCAGAGGGTTGATTCTTGTTATGCTTGCATGATAGTTTTCATAGTAATAGGACAAGAAGCTTCAGGGGCAGAACTTTGGGGACTGCAGAGAAAGGAGGGGAATATGCATCCATCTTTGTGTTTGTCCTTGTCTGTTATTTCCTTATTTTTTGGTGTCTGGTTAGCCATGTGAACTAGATGGGACTGCAAAGCAGCAAGATAGGTTTTCCTGTGCAGGGCAGGTCCTAGTACTTTGTAGATATAGCTCTTATTCATCTTGTATTTCATCCTTCTTTCACCCAGAGCCCAGGGCAGGGAGAGGTCTGAGAGAATCCCATGATTGTCCTCGTTGAGGCTGTGAGGCAGAAGACCATGATTCCCTTCCCTCCTTGGTCACTTAACAGTAATGTGACTTTGACCTGTTCACTGTTTCTCTGCACTTTGGTTACCTCATTTATATTCTGGAGCTCTGGGCTGCCTGGCCCACGTCATACAATGGTTGTAAAGGAGGGGCCAGAATACCAACTATGGAGTCTGTACAGATTTGGGGCATTACAATCCCTCTAGATGGTCATAGGAACAGACTATTGTCATAAATGCTGGGGTCAGGGCCAGGCCTTGCTGTGGCCATGGCTGCTGCTCCATCGCTTCAGTCTCACACTTTCTCTGCTGCAGGTGCAACACGCAGGACTACATCTGGCACAAGGGGATGCGCTGTGAGTCTATCATCACTGACTTCCAGGTGATGTGTGTGGCCGTCGGCTCAGCTGCCCTTGTCCTACTCCTGCTCTTCATGATGACAGTGTTCTTTGCCAAGAAGCTCTATCTGCTCAAGACAGAGAATACCAAGCTGCGTAGAACCAAGTGAGTTTGTATCACCCAGCCTCACTTGTTGTGAGGTGCCCCACTCCTGACCCCGCTGTACCCCTGCATCTGATCCAGTGATATTGCTGAAGGTTTCTGGCATCTATTCTCCACCCCTAGCTGTTTTGTTCATGCTAAAGATTCACCCAAGCTTATCCATTCCAGCATGTAATGTGCTAGAATTGCAGCAGAGATGAAGCCCCTGGGGTACACTGCAGATATCCAGCAACATTCCCAACACCCCTATCCCAGGACAGAGGATGGTAGAAGAAAAGGCAGCCGGCATATAACTGCTCCCAGCTCTAGCCCCAAAGTAAGTTACTGTACTCAGTCTGTCCCGCACCCACCTGACTATACCTGCTTCCCTGGCCTTTGACAGCCAGCAGCCAGTGTGAGTATTTCACTCACAAATTAGCGTGGAGTAATTCTGTCTCCCTGAATCTGCTGTCACTCAATACCAGCTCCTTGTCAGTGAATGCTGAGTAGAAAGGGTTTAGCACCGCACTGCATAGCTTTTTAAAAGCTGGTCAACCCTTGGTCCAAACAGAAGTGCAAGGAACTTGAGCAGATCCTCTTTGGTGGGGGTGTTTAGTAGAATTTGACAGGGGGTAAGGGGATGGAGGAGACTAGGGTTAACTTCCTCTACTGCAGGTTTTAAGGACAAAATGGGGATATAGAATCCCATTTCAGCCCTTCCCCTAGCAGAGCAGTGACTGTCATGTGCATGTGAGAATCAACACACATTACGTATTTGCCTTTAAGTCTGTGCCTGTAACACTCAAATGTGATCTTATACACCATGAGAGAATCTCTCTTATCACTAAGTAAATTTAAAACCTTTCTGAATTGTCACAGAAGTGACAAGAGGAGAAGTTTGGAGTTCAGCTTCCTTGGGACCCAAGAGACAATTTATGCAGAACTGTCCTCATTTCCTTTTCAACCTGTTGCCCCCTTAACCTCCCTCCCTGTGACCTGAGACTCCCTCTAGAGAATGTGACTGAAGGACTTTCCCTGGGTCCTGGGAAAAGGACAAAACACCGTCTGTTGCTCCTTTGCTGGGTAGACTCATGCAATGCATGGATGCTGGCAGCTCTCAGGCTTTCAGCGAACCATGCTGTGGGGCTAGAGGGGCCTCTCCATTATGCCTGTGCATTGAGGCGGGGGCTGTATCTGTGCACGTGATCACTCCAGAGAGACAGGCCAGGACCCTTGGCTTCTCACGCCTTCACCAAGGGGGTGAGTGAGCCAGGGTCTTTGGGGGGTAGGGGGATGGGACCACCAAAATCAGGGCCGCTGCTGATGAGGATGGAGGAGAAAAAGGAGCAACTGCCAGGAGAGTGGAGAAGCACGAGCTGTGGCCAGGAGGAGATCCTCCTTCTAGGTCTTCCTCCTGGAGCCAGCTCTGTCTTTCTTACAGAGCATGATTCTTGTGTTTCTCTGCATACCTTCTTTCTTTCCCGAGCCTGGTTACTGCTCTGATGCTACTACATGTGTCCAGGGCACTGCAGGCACTGCTGCAATTTATTAATACTAAGATACACATTTTTTTTCCACATGTGAACATCTCTGAAATTGGATTGTGTCCTACAGTCGCCGGCATCTTATAAATACTGTTGGCCGGATGGTAGTCATGATGTAGTTGTCATAGCCTAGCTGCACAAACATGGTCATAACTATTCATATTGTTGCCAGTTCTTAATCTAAAGTCTGAATGAGCTACTTCATGTATATAATAAAAACTCTAGGTGAACTCTGGTTCAAGTGGTGGCAGTTTTTTTCTTAATGGTACATTAAATAATGGTGTATCTTATTGCAATCCATGGTATTTGATAAAATACAGTATCTGACCTATGAAGCTGAAGTGTCACTTACGTTTTCCCTTTTCTTTTCTGTCCTAAACAGCAAATTCCGGACCCCATCTGAGCTCCACAATGATAATTTCTCCCTCTCCACCATTGCCGAGGGCTCTCACCCAAATGTAAGGAAACTTTGCGACACTCCCCGTACCTCCTCCCCCCATGCCCGTGCCTTGGCTCACTATGATAACGTTATCTGTCAGGTAACTGATCTTCTTCACATCTCCCCTTATGCATGCTCCAGCCCCTGGCCTGTGTCTTTGGTCTGTTTCAGAATGTGAAAGCTCCAGAGAGCTTTGGAGGTCAGCTTAGGGCAACAGTGTATGGCAGTGAAGGTGAGAATAAGTGCTTCATGATGTATCACTTCTTTGACAAGCAGAGTTACAGGTAGTAGAGAAAATCTCTTTCTAGGATGATTCATAATGTTTAGCTTCATCTATGCTTTAGAAGTCTGATTCTTATCCTTTACTTTTCATATGGAGGAGAAAGGCTCTGCTTTCATTGCCGGGGAATTTCCTGAGGTCAGTGAAGCAAATGGTGGTTGCTCTTTGGGACGGGTGGAAAACCTCTGGGTTCTTGATGCTATTTGAGGATCCCAAGAATCGGCAGGCTTATATACAACTAGTTAGGGCCAAGATGAGCACAAAACACTGGTGGAACTATATGTCTAGGACTAATTCTGTTCTTAGGAGGATGGGATCATAAATTTCAGTTGAAACCCAATAAAAGGTCTCAATAGACCATTGTCTGAAAACCATGTCCTAGTGTGTTGCCTGGACCAGACTGGCCAGTAAAATACTGGGTACTGTCAGACAGAATAAATTTTGAAAATAAAGCAGAAACCATCTAAGCCTGAGATCATGTCACATCCAAGTCTTAGAGTTCCGCATATAATGCAGGCTCCATGCCTCAAGATAAATGCATTATTACACAAATTATTACACAGATAAGGGAACTAAATGGAGACACTTCAGACTGAAAATGGAGTTCAAGAGGAAATTTTGAAGTTCTTTGAAATAATGGACCATATAGTATCAGAGGTCATAAGGACCTTAACAATCTAGACCAGTGCTGTCCAGTGGAACTCTGTGAAACAGAAATGTTCTATATCTGCATTGTCCACTATAACAACTTCTATCACTCAATGCACTTCACATTATGAAAATGTTCCTGTGCTCCCTGGTGCCCCAAAGAGTGTGTGATGTCAGGGGTGGGGTGGGGAAGGTTACACCTGTGGCTGTAAAAGCTCTTGAAAAGTAGCTGGTGCTACCATATTGCCCAGCACAGATCTAGACTACTGTCTTCTTTTTATAGGTGGGGAAACTGGACCCCCAAAAGGGGAAGAGAGAATAATAGTAAATGTGGCCTTATTCACCAAACCCCAGAAAAGGAAAACATGGTCTGATGGAGGAGGAGTAAAGGGATCAATTTAAATATGAAATGAAAGAGGTAAACAGGATAATTTTTTGAAATCTTTGACATATAGGGTAGAAAAAGAACAGATTATTTAACTTGCTATGCACCAAAATATTAATAAGTTCAAGATGAACATCATAACCAAGGAAACAAGATGTCTTACAAACTGTAAGATTGATAACCACATTATCAGCCCACAAGGATGTAGGCACCTTGAGGGCAGCACAGAGTCTCACTGCTCTTGGTGAGCACATTATCCAGCCCCTTCCAGTAATATGCATTCATCAGCACTTACTGAGTACTAGTGAGCGGTGGCCTGCCGCAGCGTCTCCTGGTTCCACTGTTGGATCTGTCTTGCACGTGTGGGACAGCAGGTTTGACTAGTACAGTCATTCCTGCAGTCAGGGTGTTCACTGTCCACAGCTGGTTCCTCTTTCCACTTTGCTTGACGGAGTACAAGCGTCCTTAGGAGAGTTTCTGACCCATGCATTTCCACTACCACAGTTACAGACACCTTTTCTCCTCACAAAGAAGGAGGGGAAGGAAATAGCTCTTGGAGGGTTTGGTTACATGAGCCAATGCAAAGCTTTCCTGTCCTTGCTGACCCGGCTTTGTGGGAAGTAAGGCATTTGTACACGAAAGCTACCACTGACCCTGAGTTCAGAATAGGACAAACCTTGTAAGCAGAGCAGGGCAGGGGTAGTCAGCCATGGTGGACTCTGCCTGAGAAGGGGCTGTGGTGTTGGCCAGGACAGCACTCAGGCCATCCCTCAGGAAGTGGCAAGAGCAGGCTCTGGTGGTCTCTTGACTCCTCTTGGCTCTTGAGGGCCACTTCCAGCTGGCATCCTTCCCTCCGCTTATGCCCACGGGGGCATCAACTTCTTTTCTCTGTAAAGCACTGTGACTCTCCTATCCAGGAGGGAGTGTACTGGTGGATTTTTCTAATTTCATCCGTAATTCTCTCCACCTTGCCCAAAGCTTAGTCATTTCCAAGACCTTGTGGGCACTGCCCATTCAGACGGTGGGCACTTCATTGTGAAGTGCAGCCCTGCACATCGCTGCAGCCACACTGATTGCACACGCAGTACCAGCAGCAAAATGGAAGGAGGAGGCCTCGAGGTGAGCCAGGAGGAGAAACGAGGGGCATCAGAGTTGGGCCTGCTATTTACCTCTCTGCATCTCTCTCCCTCACCCCTCAAACTCCTCATCAGGATTGGTGTTCCGTAAAATTGTGGAGAGTTCTATTTATTTCAACAGATGGGTTATTTCTTTTCATAAGTAAAGTCAGTGGAGTGGGTCATTTTCCTACCCTGTTGCCATAATCCCTACCAGCCACACACTGATTTTTTTTTTTCAAACAAAAAAAATCTGCTGCTTTGGGGATGTGGTGGGGAAAGGTCAGTGTCTGGTCTGGGTCAGTGGCACCTCCTTCCCTCCCCTCTGCTGCTCCGTCTGGGCCCTCTGGGACTGAGGTGACGTGCTGCAGCCAGTGGGCCACAGGCTGAGTCTGTGTGTGAGTCTTTTACATAGCTGAGCAGCCAGCCTCTAAAGGGAGCATCAGGAGGCATGGTGAGTGTGTGGGAAGCTGGACACACTCCAGGTTTGCTGCATGAATGAAGTCACCTGAAACCCGCGGGCAGACTGCCCGAACACTCAGCTGCCCTGTTCCTCACAGCAGTGTTGTCGAGGGAATGTGGTGGATAACTTGGTCCTCCTAAGATCTGACAGACCTTCCAGGATTTCAGTTTCTTCCTAGGACTTCTCCATGTCCCTTAGTGCCTTTTTTTTTTTCTATTTAAATCTTTCTTACTTTCCAGACTCTGCTCTTGCCTGTGACTGCCTGCCCCCTTACCATAGAGGTTTGCATCTCGATGAGTGTGAGTCCAGGCTGAACCACATTACCACTGAGCTGAAGGGTGCCCATATGGCTGGGGTGGAATGCTGGGAGCGGGGGGCCCACAGTATTTCCCGGGACTTATGCCAGATGTCGGTTCAGCTCCCTCATGACAAGGTACTGCCGCCAAGTCAAAGGCAGATGGACCTTCTGCTGTGGATTCAGCAACCTTAGGTAATAGGATCAAGTTCTGGAGGAAATACTCAGGAGGGCTCCATATCGGTTTAGCCACTTCCTCACCTGTTCTGTTTGTTGGGGGGACTTAGCTTGTCTGATGGCATTGTTGGATACCTCTGTTCCTTACTTTTAGGATGTGTTTCTCCCAGCCCTTGGCCCAGAAGCCAGTTTCTCATCTGTTCAAATCCTCAAGGGGCCAGGTTGAATTTGGGCCCCCAGCTTCATGGCATCACAGCTCTGATGCCCAGATCTAGGAGTCACTCAATGCACTTCACATTATGAAAATGTTCCTGTGCTCCCTGGTGCCCCAAAGAGTGTGTGATGTCAGGGGTGGGGTGGGGAAGGTTATCCTGAAAAACATGACAGCAAGTTGCATCCTTAAGAGGAGAGGTTGAGTGTAGGCCCTCTTGTCTTGTTCAGGTTTTGGTATGATTCAAAGTCCATCCTATCCAGGATCTTCAGTGGCTCAACTCTTAAGCTTCCATGGCCAGTTTCTTACCCCAATAGTACAACAGTACACAAAATAAAAAGTGCGGTTCTACTTCATCCCTCTTCCCTTTCCATAAAACGTGTGCATGTGTGTATATATATATACATATACACCTATATCTATAGTTTTAAATATAAATGAGATTTTGCTGTACACATGTTCTGCCCCTTAGATTTTTCACTTAATATGTCATGGAGGTCTTTCCCTCTCAGCACATGCACATTTATGTCACTGCACAGTTTTTTCTGACTCTCTCCAAGCAGTAACTGACAAGGTCAAGTGCCCGAGCGTGCTGTGCACAGCTGCCTTGCCTGAAATCCACCTCAGTTCCCTATGAAGCCCATTTCCTCTTGTTCTTGCCTCTTGGTGATGGGGAACATGTGTTCCCTTCTCTATAAATCACATCTGAAGTCTTTGAGACTCTATTAAATCGCTCTGCTCAGTCTGGGCCTCTGGAGAAGTGCAGGGGCTGGGACAGTGGGCAGGTGCCAGTGATTTTTATACACACAGAACTTTTTTTTTTTTTTTTGTCTTTTTCTGTGTCCGGCAACGGATCGCAACCCTCAGTGTCGCCCCCGTACCGGACCGGGACCGGCAACGGGATCACAGCCCTCGGTGTTGCTCCCGTGCCTCGCTCAGCCAGTGAGCGGGAACTGGTCTGTATGTGGGATCCGAACCCTCGGGCGGGAGCGCCACCGCGCTTCCCAATCGGCGCACTATAGCAGTGCGCCACCGGGCCGGCCCTATACACACAGAACTTTTGAACACCTCTAGTGTCCTGTATGTACAGCCACCATGGAGAGCCTGGGATCTTTCCCTACTTCTCTCCAACCCTTCACTACACTAACCTAGTGCTGTTATGCTCAAACTCAGTAGTAGTGCAGGCAGCACAGACGAGAGCTCACCAGAGTTTTATGGAGAACGCAATGGTTCTTAAGCACGATTGTCTTGGATTTTGGAAGTGGTTAAAGCAAGAATGGTCTTAACTAGCTGGTCACATTGGGACATACTATACTCTTCCTGCCACCCATGAGTCTGCCCAGATGGTTACACAACCTCTTCAATCTGTAGAGTTCTGACCACTCACAACAACTGATTGGGGCACCAGAGGAAGCATGGAGGTCCACTGAATCACGATGGGTGTAATCCCTCAGGTGGTCCTAAAGGAAAAGAGTAGGGCAGGAGTTGCTGTAAAAGTTCTCTGAATACACAGAATGTGGAATTGGAGGACTATGTGCTAGCAAGGCTTCCCAAAGTCCTTGAATAGGCCAAGTCAATTCAGGTTCAGGAGCTTGCTGTAGGGTTGCAGGCAGTATCCATGGGTCAGCAGGAGGGCTCAGGTGCACAGCAGCAGTGGGTAGTGTGCGGCAGCATGAACAGCACCTGATGCAGAGCACAGCAGGCCACTGAGGTAGCCGACTCATTTAGGCTTGGTTGAGGCAACATCTTCTTAGTGAGCATCTTTTAGCAGATGCAGTGTGACAGTAAGAGTCTTACACATCTTTGGCCTCTGCTCAGGATTTATATTTGTTGTGGGGAGAGGGATCCTAGCTTTGCAAGGAGCAGCTGTGCACCTGACCATAGTCCTATGTGTGCTCCACTGTGTACATCGACAAGACGTGTTCCCTGACCAAGATGCTTTTGTAAGAGCAGAATGGAGGGCCCGAGGGAGGTGGGCCCAGCAGGCTGAGCAGACTCATCAGCATGTGAGACTTTAGAGGCACCTTGGCCAAGAGTAAAAGGGACTGTTTCTCCCCAGACTCTGTCCAAGAGAAAACCTTGGACAGGCCCACATTATAGGTCTTTGTCATCTAATTACCTGTCAAATTTTCATCTATATCTGTCCATTGCTTTTAAGGATGACTTTCCTAAAAAGTAGCTGCTAATGAGTTACTTTGGTTACTTTTGGTTCATTCAAAAATTAGAACTTTTTCTGGTTTTGGTTAGCTTCTTTCAGCCAGATGGAAAAATCTGAAATTATTATTTGATTGCTGTACCCATTATCTCCTTCCCTCCCCCCCAACTTTTTTCCTCTTCCAGGATGATCCTAGTGCTCCCCACAAAATCCAGGAAGCTCTCAAGTCCTGCCTGAAAGAGGAGGAATCATTTAATATCCAGAACTCCATGTCACCCAAACTTGAGGGTGGCAAGGGTGACCAGGCTGACTTGGAGGTGAACTGTCTTCAGAATAACTTAACCTAAAGCAGAGCAAGAAGAGAGGAAATAGGGGGTGGGGGCTGGGTGGAGGGAAGAAACATTATCTCCTCTTGTACAGAGCCTATTTCTTGTAACCATTTGTTAAACTCTTTTCTTTTTCTGACCTCATGGCATGCTTTGATGTATTTTGTACAGGAGGGAAAAAAACACTTAAAATAAGCAAGAAACTGAACAGAATTGCATACACTGGATTGTTTTGTCTGTGCTGTCTGTACATTGCTTCTGTTGCTGTGATTTCTAAACCTATGTTGTTACTCAACTGACTTTTTTTTTTGTACTTTGACCCACCTTTTTTTGAAATACCAGTAAAAAACAAAGTTCTTGAAATAAAACTTTTTAAAAAGCTATCCATTTTCTTAATGTCATTGCGTCTACTCCCTACCCATTTAATTTGTACCTTCATTGAACATGAATATTTAAACATGTTCGAAATCTCAGAAATGATCTGTGTATTGTCAGCTGGGGCTTCCATAACAAAATACTACAGACTGGGTGGCTTAAACAACAAAAATTTATTTTCTCACAGTTCTGGAGGCTGGAAGTACAGGATCAAGGTGCCAACAGGGTTGGTTTCTGATGAGGTCACTCTTCCTGGCTTGCAAACAGCCACCTTCTTGCTCTGTCCTCACATGGACTTTTCTCTGTGTGCAGGTGGAAAGAAAGAGATCTCTTATGTTTCTTCCTGTTCTTATAAGGACACCAGTCCTATCACCTCACTTAACCTTAATTAGCCCCTTAAAGGCCCTATCTCCAAGTACAGTCACACTGGAGTTTGGTGCTTCAACATATGAATTTGGGAGGGACATAATTCAGTCCGTAACATTTTGTATCACCTGTTAAGAATATTCTCATTCTGCATCGTATAGTGTACTTACTCAAACCTAGATGGTATACCCTGCTACACACCTCCAGCTCCATTATAATCTTATAGGACCACAGTAGTATGTGCAGCCCATTGTTGACTGAAATGTTGTTATGTGGTGCATGATTGTATATACACAAGAGTAAATTAGAAGGGTAGTGCTAAAAAAAAATGCTTGCTTTCTTTTATAAATATTTATTAAGCACTAACTCTAAGCCAGGCATTATGCTAGATGCCAGGAATATTATACAAATAAGATAGACTCTAGCCTCAAGCAGTTAATAGCCCACTTGAGAAACAGACTTATAAACAAATAATTATAATTCAGTATGTCAATATTATAACAGATGTGTACAAAGCTATGAGAGTTGGAGTTAAGAGTTCAGAAAGGCTTCAAAGAGAAAAGGTTTAAATTGGACTTTGAAGGATATGGAGGCATATTTCAAGATAAAACAGAAGAGGACATTCAAGCCACAGGAAGAATACTCAGGAAGGTAGTGCTATGTGACTAGAGATTGTGTGAGAGGGAAGAAACCTACGTGATGAGGCCGAAAAGGGCAATTTAGGATGGATTATAAAGAGCTTGGCTGCCATTAAGTGCAGGGCTGAGGGAGGGAGATAGTGGTGCAGGCAGACTGAGGATGGGATTGTAGAATGGGATGGATTACAGGGAAGAGTTGAAATAGCCAGACTTACTAACTATTGGGGGAGTTTTCTACAACTTCTTGCCTGTATTCAATCTGAAATAATTCCGATTACTGGAAATCCTGTAAATTGTGTTTCTGTTGCCTAATTTCTGCTGGTTCTCCCTGATTTATACTCACTTGTGCCACATGATTTTTTTATTTCATTCTGGACATTATATTTGAAAATTGTTTATTAAAACAGTTTGAGGCCAAGGATGATTTCTTCCCCTAGAGAGAGTTTTTGTATGCTTTGTCAGGTATCTAGGGGCACTAGGATTCTGGGATCACATTAATCTAAATTCAAGGTTGGAAATTTTCTAAGCCACTGAAACCAAACTGCAGACCTATCAGATTATATGAGGGCTGGTTTGCTTCTGGTTTATCCTTAACATTTAGGATGCAGTCCTCTGGAGTCACAGCACAAAACAGGCAGTGGTTTACCAGTGTCCCACCTTTGGTGGCCCTGTTCTCCAGCTCCCCTCCCTGCCACCCAGCCCTGCAAGACTTTCAGACACAGCTCATTCTCTCAGTCACCTCTGCTAAATGGGTACAAGTGGCCCGGAGTGCTGGGCTCACCTGTCTGGAAACCTGTCGTCCCTGGATGTCAGCCTAGTACCTCTTTAGTATCTTGTTAGCTCTTTGTTGCTTTTCAGATTTCTGTGCAACATTTTCTTTGTCTTTAGTGGAATAGTTAGTCCAATTTACCTAGTCTCCCCTTTACTAACAACAGAAGTCTTCTGTTTTCCTCTTGGGACTGTTGCCCAGTTGGTGTTCAGCTGCCGCCATGAGCTCAGTCTCCTCTTTGCTTTTGGGTAGGGGTACATTGGGGTCTGTATTATGGTCTCCTAACCATATCACTTATCCACTTTGGGGATTTGCATGGTCTGCTTAGGACTTCCTGTATTTTCTGAATTAGAGGGCCTGTCTTTCATGGGTAGGCACCTCTGGATACTTTCACAGGGAGGCTTAGTCAGACTGTATGTAAAAGTGCTTTGTAAGTTCTAAATCCCATCCAGAAATAAGGGTTTGTTAGTACTGTGCTTTGTTTTGTTTTCCCCACAAGAGTATCGTGAAATGTGTATCAAGTCCTTGGCTCTGTCCCACCTTCTCAGCAGATGCAGGAGGAAGAGGAAAACCCAGATCAGAATGGAAGCAGGAGACAGTGAAGACTCTGTTGAATAGAGTTACCAGATGTTACCAAGAGTCGTTGACCCAAAGAAGGGTCTGAAGTTTTGGAATAAGATATATTCATTCCTCTCTGTGCCTGTCCCCTGTCCTCCCAGAATGTTTGTACTTCTCAAGGGTTATGATCCACAGGGCTGGCCAGTGCCCTCTGGGGACCCTCCAGCTCTGTTGTGAGCTCCTTCCTCCACCTCCACAGTGATTGCCTAACTCTTGGGACATTCCCCATTCACCCTAGAGCTTTCAGATGAGTGTGCCCTTCTCTTCTCTGTTTTTCCCATCCCGCTCCATAGCCTATCCAGAGTCCTCCTCTCTAAAGAAAGGATGTACTGAAAATGTGGGAAACTTAGGCATCATGGAGGAAGCGTCATTTGTCTGTGCAGTCTTTCAGCACTGACGAGGCCATTTCGCTTGGGACAGTTGTGCATGCAATGTGGAGCCATCTGTCTAAACAAAGCATATCCTTTTATGGATGCCACACCTGTCTTAGTTTCCTGCAGTTTCCATAACAAATCACCACAAACTGAATGGCTTAAAGTAACAGGAACTTATTCTTCACTGTTCTAGAGGCTAGAAGTCTGAAATCAAGGTGTTGGCAGGGCCATACTCCCTCTGACAGCTCCAGGGAAGATCTTTCCTTGCCTCTTTCTAACTTCTGGTTATTTCCGGAAATCCTTGGTTGGCATTCTTTGGCTTTAGCTTTTCAGTCTGATTTCTGCCTCTGCCTTCACATGACCATCTTCCCTCTGTGTGTGTCTGTGTCTCTGTGTTCTCATGTGGCCTTCTTATAAGGACAAAGGCATTGGATTTAAGGTCCACCCTAATTCAGTATGGCCTCATCAAACTTGATTACAACTGCAAAGACCCTATTTCCAATAAGGTCACATTCACAAGTATTGGGGGTTAGGACTTCAATCTATCTTTGGGGGGACAATCCACAACAGTGCCTTACTATGTACAGCACACTTTCATTTCTGTGGTCTCATCCTCACCGGAGCCCTGGAGCCTGGGTCTTAGGACTAGAAAGCATCATTGGTAATGTTACAGCCTAAACTTTGGACGTCTATTTTAGTATCCTTTCCTCTGTATCATATCACACCATCAGCACTGCATTAATAGTTCCTTGTCCTTTCTCATATAATTTATAGAAGTGAAAAAAATTAGCCTGACCTCTGAAAAACAGCACTAAATGCTGGACTCAGAGCTAGAAGTTGTCTCCATTTTGGAGTCACATTGTCTCTGAACCTAAGGGTCTTAATCTACAAAATCCTTACCTTTTCACAGGACTATCTAGGTATCAGGGATATAGCAATGAGCAAAACAGACCAAAAACTCTGCCATGTAGTTTACTTCCCAGTGTCATGAAATTCACTCAAGGTAATATATATAAAAGTATTCTGAGAAATGGAAGGGGCTGTGCAAACCCATCCTCCAAGCCCAAGGGAAAGGGTGAGTACCAACAGGAGATAAGTCATGTTCATTGGTGTAGCAAGCAATGAGGCTTGTAAACACCCCCATCTCTGAGAACTGTAGCAGAGGCTCTTTCCTCAGGCTGGGAGCTCGTCACAGCTGTACCAGGGGCTCAGAGGAAAGAGTAAGGGACTCCACTGAAGCAAACTTGGAAATAATATTTTCTCCTCAGTGTGTAACCATGAGACTACACAAAGTACACGGGAGCAAAGACATGCAAAGTTACCCTAAGGAATCAGATGGCCAGCCAGACTAAGCAGTACTCTGGCCAACAGTTTATCAAAGCCAAAAGAAAAATGTGTTAATCAGAGGGATTTTCCTCCTGGTGCACATGTGTATGCAATTCTGAGTTATACACCTAGGAGCAGAATTGCTAGGGTGGAATTTAACCTATGTTACTATTACAAGATAATATCAAAAGTGGCTGTATCAATGAATAACTTCCATCGACAGTGGATGAGAGTTGCCTTTGCTCCACATTCTCACCAGCGCTTGATGGTTTCACATTTCTTCAATTTCAGCCATTCTTGTAGGCATGCAGTGGTATATAACTGTGATTCTAGTTTTTCTTTCCCTAATTATTAATGAAATTGCACAACTTTTTGTCTGTTTATTAGTCATCTGGATTTCTGCTTTTGTCATGTACCTGCTTAACTCCTTAGTCCACTTTGTTATTAAGTTATCTTTTTTCTTTTGTTTCACTGGCATTCTTTAAATATCCTGCTTATGAGCCCTCTATTGCTCATATGTATTGCAAATATCTTTTCCCACTTAGTCACTTGCAATTTCACACTCTTAGTATTAATTAAGTTAAAATTTAAGCTAATTTTTATGTAGTCAAATTTACGAATCTTCTTTATGGTTACAGAATTATTCCTGAAAAGTCACTTCTACCCGGATGCTGAAAGACACATGATAACGTCACTAACACCATAACAGCAAAATAGAAGTAAGATAACTTACACAATCACATCTTCTTGAGCCCATCAATGTGCTGAGGTCACAAGGGAACCATATAAGTTGAATTCCAAAGGATAACAAGCCCCTTCAAAGACAGACAGAACACATGAATGGCTTTATCCATGGCAGAGCCTGGGAGGAAGAAGCAGCACCATAAAAGCAGGAAAGAAGACAGTTAAAATGT